GTTCCTGCCTCCAAGTTTCTACTGTGGATTCCTGCCCCGACTTCCCTTCACGGTGGACTGTAAGCTGTAAGCTGAAATAAACTCTCCCTTCCCCAAGTTGTGTTTGTTTGTGGTGTCTTATCACAGCAACAGAAGCAAAGGAGAACTTCTTAGAGCAGACAGAGTTCACTCACAGAGCTGACACTGAGGGCCTTACGTCTGTCCCTCCCTCCATCCTGTCCCCTACAGGGAGGGGGGAGCTAGGCTGAACTCACTCGGCAGCTGAGGATGACCTTGAATTCCAGATCATCCTAACTTAGGCTGGATTGTTGGTGCTACAGGCATGCAATGCCATGTTTGGCACACATACGTATACATGCACATATATGCATACAAGTATATACGAGCTACTGAGTTTTTTTAGCTTTGTTTATGTGTCCAAGGCTGACCACTTGGGATTAGACAACCTATGTGGGAGCTCAGCCCTGGGGGAAATGGATCCCCCACCCTCTCAGCAGGGGAAATGGATCCCCCGCCCTCTCAGCCCTTGAGGAAATGGATCCCTCACCCTCTCAGCCCTGGGGGAAATGGATCCCCCACCTTCGTCGGTGGGTAGAACCATTAAACTTTTCCTCATCCACACCGATGAGTCAACTCCTGTTGTCACTGCGCTGGTCTTGCTCGGGCCGCTGCCATATTGCTTTGAGTTCATGGAGTGTCGACCCTCTTCATGGACACCATTGAAGCAGCGCTGGATACCCAGCTCTGTGTGCTGACTCATGGTTTGCCCTCCGAGCCTTTGTCAAGGCTGCCAGACTGGTCAGCAGCAGGGGCTCCCGAAGTTGGCTTCCAAAAGCTCTACATCTACTAGGAAGCTCTAAACTACAGTTTACATCATGGGTAAGAGAAGGTTCGGACCACCAAGTGCATTAGGATGGCTTGGCTTCTCACCTTACTGGCTGTCCCTTTTCTTTGCTGAGCTAATGGTGACTGTGATTTTGTGGGGTGACCAAGTCTTTAGTGGACTCCATGAACACGAGGCCTGCTCCTCCCTGCTCTGTGCCTGAAGACCAGGACTTCCCAGGGATCTGGCCTGATGAAAGAAAGGAACAAAAGAAGACTCTCTGGAGTTCACAGCATTTCTTGACTGGCCTTTATCTCATGATGCTCCTTTGTGGCCAGTGGTCACCATCACTGTCATTTTATCCTTCTTCCCTGAGAGGTCGGGATTGCTGGTTTACAGATTTGAAAATGGGAGTTTGCAGTCTGAAGCTGTGTAGTCAGTGAGGATGCTACTAGCCGCATGGAGTTGTTTAAATGAAAGCAATTTTAAATGAAATAAAATGTGAGTTTGGGCTTCTCCAGTCCCTCCCTTCTATCAGCTACAATTTCAAGACTTCTGTGGGCAATGGTGGCCATTGGTTTCTGTTTTAACCAGCATGGTGCAGGATGTTTTTGACTATGCAGCCAGATGTGCCAAGAGATGGTGGGGGAAGTGAGGCTAACAGCCATATTTTTCTGACTGCTGGTCCAGGGGGATTTCCTAGGTCCCCTGAATAGTCCCAGGTGCTCCAAGGGAGGAGAGAAGACTGCACTCCTCTTCACTAGGCCAAGTTTGGTTGACAGTGAACTTTTCTGTGGTGGCTGGACCTCAGATCCGTGTCTCAGTTCTACACTGGTCACCATCCAAGCAACCTACAGCCCTGGGTGCTCACTTAGAACTGCTGGCCTTGAGTCCTTTGGGGCTACTCACTTTCAGGACTCCTCCCTTGGGAATCAGCAGTCCTGACTTACCTATTTGCCTACTCTGAGGGTTGCTGTGACCAAAAACTTTAAAAGAAGGAGGGGTTTATTCTTTCTCATAGTTCGAGGCAGCTGATTTCACGGCACCCGGCAACAGGAAGCAGAGAGGGATGGACTACTTGGCTCACTTTATTATATTTTTAATTACACACACACACACACACACACACACACACACACACACACACACACACATCTGAGACAGGGTCCTCAGCTGGCCTGCAGCTCAGATCTGCCTGCTTCTGTCTCATAAGTTCTGGAATGAGAGGTGTGTCCCACCTCACCTGGTGTAGCTTTCTTTTTATGCAGCCCTGGGAACCAGCCTATCAAGTGATGCCACCTACATTTAGGGTGGACTGCTCTACCTCAGTTAATATGATCTAGAAAGTTCCTTACAGATGTGCCTACAGCTTTGCCTTCTGGGTGATTCTTGAGGCCTCCAGACTGACAGTATTCACCATGGCACTGCCTAGGTGGGGGAGGAGGACCAGACTCAGCTCTGCCCCCTCAGGATAGGGAGTTCTGGATTCTCTCACAGAAGCAGGACGGACTATCATTTCCACACACATAGTAGGTGCTGTAGCCTTGTGGTGAGATTCAGCTGCTTCTGAAATAAACTGGAAAGCTATGGCTCTTGTCCATATAATTCGTTTTATGGATGTTGCCTTAGACTGAATGTCCATGTCCCCCAAAACTGGTATATTGACCTCTCTCTTCCAAGGTGAGGATGTGGGGGCATTGTTTTTGGCAGGTGAGACACACTGAGAGCAGATCCTTCATGTGTGGATTAGCAACACCCTTGTCGGTGGTCCATCCAGCTTCTTTTTTCCCTCCCTCCCCTCCTCCCTCCCTCCCCTTCTCACTGTCCCCTCCTCCCTTCCTTTCTAATAGTAAATGTATTTATTAATGCTATTATGTCTCATAGTATTAATAAAGAAAATCAGTAGATAAAAGGGAAAATTGGAAGTATGTAAACATAGACTTTGTCTTTGTATGTATGTATGTATGTATGTATGTATGTATGTATGTATGTATATTTGGCTGGTTGTTTCCAGAATAGATCACAGAGTGAAAAAAAAGCCTGCCCTCACCAGGCTCTGACATTGCAGGCTCCTGGGTCCTGGACTACTTCTAGCTTTTGCCACTGAGGCAGGTCAGTGCCTGCTGCTGCCATACCACCCAATCGAAGGTGTTTTGATAGCCCTGAACACACCAGGGTGATGCCCAGTGATGGCAGGGCCCTTGCCCAAGGTCAGAGAAGTGTTCTGCTCCCACCCCAGGGTCCCTCTCACCCTAATACCCTCTGTGAGCTATCCTACCCTCCTCGGGGCTGTGCTGGGCCCCGCTAGACGAGAAAGGGTGTTCCCGAGATGTTTGGGGCTTCATTCTGGCTAGGGGAATTGGTATACTAACTGCCCAGATGAGAAAGGATGTTCCCGAGACGTTTGGAGCTTCATTCTGGCTAGGGGAATTGGTATACTAACTGCCCAGAGCCAACTCACATTACAGTCTCAGATGTAAATTTCTCTCCTGCCTCTACCTTCAGTCTTGGCCTCTTCATTCCTAGGTTGCCTTTGGCTTACTGTCATAGCATCCTGTCTGTCTGGTCCCCCGGTCACACCCCCATCCTCTTCCCACAAGCCAGAAATGTCTCCGCTATAACCCACACAGGACCTCAGCTCCCTGGGGCAGTGGGACTGATGCTGAGCAGGAGGAGGTCTAAGCAGTCATCCTTAGGAATGATTCTAAGGCTGGACATGCCTCATGGGTTGACGAAAAGCGTGCGCCAGGACTGCAGGGGAAAGAGCACGGGTGAGCACTCTGGCTGCTCCCGATTGCAGATGAGCGCTCAGTCCTCATGGGACCCTTGGGCTTCCAGAGTCTAGCTTGCTGCCCCAAGGCCTTTCCCCTTGCTGTCCCCATGCCACTCAACACACTTGGTCAGTTTCTTCCCCTCTCTGCTTCACGCACACCTGCATGGAGTCTGCCCTTCCCGCTGACATCCACAGACACCCAGCCCTTCTTGTCTCAACTCCTGTCCCCGTCTCGGGCACGTCTGGGTGTGTGTGATGCTCAGCTCTGAGCATGCCACAGGGCATGCAGTGATACCCTGTCCCTGCCCGGATGGTCAGCTAGCAACTCATAGAGCAGTCTGGTCACAGTGGCAGGCAGGGAGTGGGGCTGGTGTAGGCAGAAGGGAAGGGCGCAGCCTGGGTGGACAGCTGGACTGTGGGAGGAGTCGAGGGTCTTGGGTCCCTTCTCCTACCTCTATCTATCTGGCCCTCTTCATTGGCCGGCTATATTGTCTCTTTCCAGACCACTTCCTTCATGTGTCAACAAATGTGACATGTGCAGCTCCTATGGGTCTTTGATTTGCCACCTGGGCTAGATGCCTCCAGTAAGACTGACACCAGAGGCCAGAGGCAGCGTGTTCAAGAACAGGTGGCTCCGGGCTTGGCTGTGGGGAGGAGAAAGGAGTTTCTAGGTACAGAGGATGTGTGAGGGCTTCCGTTGCAGGATGGCCGGTGCATATGAGACCAAATCCTCACTTCTCCTGCATGCAATTGCTGGGTTCCTGTCCAGGGTGGAAGGAAGGCCCAGAGAAGCAGAGGGGAGGGTGGACGGGTGAGGGCTGGTTTCGGGGAGTGGGTTGTGAGAGTTCTGGATAACAGGTAGACACAGGGATGTCTTTCATGCACCCCCTGGTGTACTTCCGTGTATAAAGATGCTATGTTCACTTATAGTTAACAAACCAACAACCCACTGAGAGCCCTGGAGCACTAGACGCCAGGCATGATTCCCCATCCTTCATCCTGAGGGGCCAGGTTCTTATCTCCTGTACAGAACAGTAAAATGAAGCACAGAGAAGTTAAAGGACTTGCCCAAGTTCACGTGGCTAGCGGGCGGCCCGCTCAAGATTCGCATCAGGCCTCTGTGTGCCCCCCGCCCCGCCCCCGCCCTAAGCTCTGAAGATAGCACAGTTGAGATTTAACCATTACCTCCACAGCCTTTCAGAACGTCAAGTAGGTGGCTGTGCATTGGAGGGATGAGCCTCTCCTTCATGTTTCTAGTGCCCTGGAGTTTTCTCTGCCTCCGTATGTTAAAAAGAAAGAAAACAATCTAACGACAACAACACAGAGAAACTTAGATCATTTTGAAAAAATACAAAAAAAAGTCTGACTTATGTGAAATTTAATTTAATTTATTTTTATACCAGCAGCTGTCAGTTCAAAGAACAACAACAAAGTAACCATCTGTGCTTAATTTCATCAATCCACTGTCGATGGTCACGTGAGCAGGGCTTTTGGACTGAGGCAGAGCACGTGACCACGTCTCAGCCCCTCCTGCCCCCCAGGTCCTGTGTCCAGGCAAGAAGGAGAGCTGGTGGCCAGATTTCGGGGTGAAGAGACTTGACACCTAGGTGGAAAAGCGGGTGGTTGCTCAGACAGCAAACCCCGACCCTCCTGCTTGTTTGGTCTCACTTTGCCACTGTGGGTGAGCATTTGAGCCCAGTTGAACAGGAGGGGAAACTGAGTCTCCTTGTCCTTTGTTGTTGTTTTTCAAGACAGGGTTTCTCTGTGTAATAGCCCTGGCTATTCTGGAACTCCCTCCAAATACCAGGCTGGTCTTGAATCACGGAGATCCTCCTGCCTCTGAAACTGTATTTCAAAGGGGGCGTGTTCAGTTCCTAAATATGCATTCTTATGGACACACTGTGTGACCCCCGAGATAGAAGCTATGGTTAAAAAAAAATCTGTGGGGCCAGAGGGTTCCTGTGTACTGGGAGCCTGCAAGAATCAAGGGAGACCCAGTTGAGGTACACGGTGGTGCACACCTGTAATTCTAGCACTAGGGATTCAACAGGACCGTTAGGAGTTCAAATCCATCTTTGTCTACACAGTGAGCTTGAGATTAGTCTGCTTGGGATCCTGCTTCAAACACAACAAAATAGAGAGAGGGGGAGGAAGGGAGAGAGAGAGAGAGAGAGAGAGAGAGAGAGAGAGAGAGAGAGAGAGAGGGGAGAGAAAGGGAGGGAAGGAGGGAGGGAGAGAGAGAGAGACAGAGAGAGACAGAGAGAGAGAGGAGAGAAAGGGAGGGAAGGAGGGAGGGAGAGAGAGACAGAGAGAGAGAGAGAGAGAGAGAGAGAGAGAGGAGAGAAAGGGAGGGAAGGAGGGAGGGAGGGAGAGAGAAAGAGAGAGACAGACAGAGACAGAGAGAGAGGAGAGAGAGAGAGAAAGAGAGAGACAGAGAGAGAGGGAGAGAGAGAGAGAGAGAGAGACAGAGAGAGAGGGAGAGAGAGAGAGAGAGAGAGACAGAGAGAGAGACAGAGACAGAGAGAGAGACAGAGACAGAGAGAGACAGAGAGAGAGACAGAGAGAGAGAGGGAGAGAGAGAGAGAAAGAGAGAGACAGAGAGAGAGAGAGAGAGAGAGAGAAAGAGAGAGACAGAGAGAGAGACAGAGACAGAGAGAGAGACAGAGACAGAGAGAGACAGAGAGAGAGACAGAGAGAGAGACAGAGAGAGAGAGGGAGAGAGAGAGAGAAAGAGAGAGACAGAGAGAGAGGGAGAGAGAGAGAGAAAGAGAGAGACAGAGAGAGAGGGAGAGAGAGAGAGAAAGAGAGAGACAGAGAGAGAGACAGAGACAGAGAGAGAGACAGAGACAGAGAGAGACAGAGAGAGAGACAGAGAGAGAGAGGGAGAGAGAGAGAGAAAGAGAGAGACAGAGAGAGAGACAGAGACAGAGAGAGAGACAGAGACAGAGAGAGACAGAGAGAGAGACAGAGAGAGAGACAGAGAAAGAGACAGAGAGAGAGACAGAGAGAGAGAGAGAGAGAGAGAGAGAGAGAGAGAGAGAGAGAACTTACTCCAGAGGGAAGAGAGTGGACCCCTCTAGCAACAGGGTCATTATATGATCCATAGCTAAGTTGCACACGGTTTACTGCCGACCTCTGAATAGGAAGAGATGGCCTTCCCTGCCCCAGGCCAGCATTTTTGGGGCTCCCTTTGCAAATGAATCTCTGTTCTTGCCCATGGTGGCTCCCACCTTCCTTTCTGACATGCATGCCTAGACCAAAGGCTTACTCCACATACAGGGAACTGGGCTACAGTGGACCACATCCGTCTTAAATGGTGGTGTCCAGTCTGCCCAGAGGTATACAGAACCCTGCCAGACCTGGGAAGCCCTGTCCCAAAGGAAAAACCTCAACATCAGGGTTAACCGGAACACTGGGGCTTAGGCATGTCTGTCTCCCTGCAGATGGAGACTTGGACTTCCAAAGGCACAGGCAGGGCCAACTACGGCATGGCCTGGAGTGAAGGTCTCTCCACTTCATGTATGCCCCTGCCCTAGGTGCAGCCTCTGACTTGACCTGTCATGCACCGTCAGCTTGTCACCGACCACGGCAGCCTGTCCTCTCTGAAGAGGATTATAGTTTTGAAGGTCTCAACAGACACCTGGTTTGAGCTGACTCAGTTCTGTGGCAGGGCTAGGGAGGGTGTGACTTGGGCAGAATCCTCCTCACCTTCAGCAAAAGACAGGGCTCAGCACCGGGGTGTCTCGGGAAGGCTGCCTGGCAAATCCCAGCTCTGTTTACTGTGGAAGGAAAAGAAGTAAGAGTGAGCGAGTCAGAAATACAGATCAAGAGAGTCACATTTTAAAGAGAAGGGGGGGTGCTCGCCAATTGGCTTGTCATCTTCTCATTAAATAACAGATGGCGGCTGAGTCACTGCTCCCGGCAGCCGGGACGCTGCTGGCCTGCTGGCTCCCTCCCTGGGGCCCAGCCACTCAGGACGAGGGGGCCTGTGGGGAGGGGGCAGAGGCGGAGGAAGCCTCACTTCTACCCCTCCACCCAGCCTCATCCCCCTCTCCCCAACATGCCAGCTCTGAAACTCTGAGTTACCTACCCATTCTTTTTATTGTCCGCTCAACAAATGGTCCCTGAGAGTCCCTGTGTGCCCTTACACCACAGAGACCAGGCCTGATCAGGGAGTCTGCAAATCAGCAAGAAGGCGGTGCCATGAGGTCATCGTTATAGATGAGGGGGTCCAAGGCCTAAGGAGAACAAGGCCAGGCTTAATACAGAATTGGGGTTGGGACTTCTCCCCTCTAGGGACCCCTGAGACAAGTCACCCTGGAAGATGGCTGAGTGACTTACTGTGAGACCTCTTCCTTCTTCACACTCTGCTTCCAATGATCCTTCCCCACACCCCTCAGCATGCACCTATCTGGCCCCTAACTGGCCTGTCCTGGTAGGCTGAGCCCCTCCTTCCAGAAGCTGGGGTCCAACAGTGGTGACCTTGTAGCTGGTAGGCAGTCAGTCACTTGTGCCCTGCCTGGCCTGCTGGCTCTCTTTGTTGCTACTTTGAGTCCTGCGTTATAGACTCAGTGCTGTGGTCACGTCCTGTGGACCCTATGCTTTACACTCTGTCCCTTTGGCTGTCGGATGCCTGCCCTAAGGTACTGGCTGTGCCTGCGTGTTCCCTGGGTGGTTGGTGAGGGAGGGGTCATTATGATGGGCTGGTGACGTCAAACGAGGCCCCTTTATTTCCCTGTGTGTTTGCAGGGAGTATACACAGATACATATACATGTACGTGTATGTGTGGAGGCCGGAAGACAACCTTCGATATTACTCTTTAGAAACATCTGTCGTGGGCCGCCAAGATCTCTGTTTATGTTGGAGTGATTGGCCAGTGAGATCCAGACATCCCCCACCCCCACCCCCCTCTCAGCCTCTCCAGTGCTGAGATTATAAATATGTGCCACTACTATGGACATTTTCATGTGGGCTTTGTGGACCAAGCTGGGGTCCTCATGCTTGTGAGGGAAGTGACTTATGCACCGAAACCGACTCCCCATCCCAAATGACATCCTTTTTGAAGGAGTCATGAGGGCATCTAGATTCTCAACCCTCACTCCCTGGATTCCCTTTACGTATGTCCCAGGCTCGGTTTGAATTCATGCCTGATAAGCTGAGAGGCCTCGTCTTTTAGGACGCAAGGCTCTGCTGAAACCATAAAAGCCCCAGCCCTGGTTTCTCTCTGATTGGAATAAAATACGTCGTCATGACTCTGTCAGTCAGGCAGTCCCTCTCACCAAGCACGGCGCAGACTCCAGCCAGGGTCAGTCCAGCTTTATCAGAGTTTGCACTTGGTGGAGGTGTGAGAGATGATGGTTGACTTGTCAGCTCGACACAATCTAGAATCACTGGAGAAGAGGGTCTCATGAGGGACTGGAGATCAGGTTGGCCTGTGGGTGTGTCTGTGGGGGACTGTCTTGTTGACATTAATTGACATCTAAAATCGGGTGGTACCGTTCCTTTGGTTTGGGACCCAGATTATACAAAAATGGAGGAAGTGAGCTGAGTGAGATGGGTTCCTCTCTCTGCTCTCAACCTCGGCTGCGGTATGACCGCCTGCCTCGAGTTCCTGCCTTCACGCCCTTGCTCCAGTGGATCATAGCCTGGAACCAAGAGCTAAAACAATTCCTCTCTGTAAGTTGCTTTTTGTCAGGGTGTTTTATTACAGCAGTAGAAATGAAACTGAGACAGAAGCCATGACTTTTATCTGCTGATTTAAAATTTAAAGAACTATTTACTGGAGCTGGAGAGATGGTTGAGCTGTTAAGAGCATGTGCTGTCCTTACAAAAGACTCAAGTTTGATCCCTAGCGCCCACTGGCCTTCAGGAGAACTGTGCTCAACTCACACACACACACACACACACACACACACACACACACACACACACATACACACACATATACACACACACAATACATAATACACAATACACAATTAAAATGTATTGTCATTGTGCATGTATGTGATATGAGGATCAGACATGTGCTGCAGTGTGTGTGTGTGTGTGGTGGTTAGAGGACAACTTTCTGGAATCAATTCTCTCCATTCACCTTTGTGTAGGTTCTGGGAATTGAACTTGGAGCACCAGGCTTGTTTAGCAAATGCCTTGCTTACTCAGCCATCTCACTGGCAGACACCAGGGCTTTTTAAGTGTTGGTTCTTCAGCCAATGCTTGGGCGGAGACCCCACCCCTGGTTCTGTTATACATAGCCTAGGGTCTGGCATATTCCTCACTCTTCTTAGGCTTCTCTACCTGGTCTAGGGAGAGTGAGACCACATGGCCCAGGCCACAAGGAGGCTTACATGGTGGCCAGAGAGTGTGGGCTGGTCTGTCTTGGCCCATAGTTTGCTAGGCCATAGGCACACTGGAGAGGGGATGGTGAGAGTCTGGGTCACCTGCTCCCTCCTCAGGATGGATAGAGGGACCTCGGCGTTCAAGGTTGCTGCTTTATTCATGGCAGTTGTTCCTGCCCTACAAGGATTGCATTTGGCATTGCTTGTACTCAACTGGAAATGGGAAGTACATTCAATGCCCTCCTGCCCCAGAGTTCCTGTCTGACCTGAAACTCCGGGCTGCCTGCCCCGACCTTCTGTACTTCTTGTCTGCAGGATAAATTATGAAATTCCTTGCATTTTTTGTGTGTGTACAGAACATCTGGTCTGGTTGATCCCAACCCCTGATGAATGGGCGCCCAGGTCTCTTCCTGTCTACTCTCCCTGGCCTGTATTTCCCACCTGTTTGAAATTAATATTCTTGGGTATAAATTGTGACGTGTCCCATTTGCTGTGCCACGACCTGGCTTTCCTCCAGATGGCCTCACTGTGAGAGCAGGCCAGTGGATGGGGTGGATGCAAGTCCTGATGGCCTCAGTTGCCCACCCTCTTACTTCCAGGCATCCTCCTGCCAATTCGGACTTACCACATCAGAGATGTCATTCCCATTCTTATGCCTGCTCCTCCAGGCTTTCTAAGATGGCCCCCAGTGTCCACCAGAGCCGTTCAGCTCAGAGCCTGTGCACCTCTAATCCCCTTAACTGCCTCCTGGAGTGATCTAGAATCTTCCCTCTGGTGTCTCCCCACCCCCACTACTACTTGCCAAGATGTTGAAAGAGCTCTTTGATTCCATTGTCCCTCACGCTTCTCTCACGCATGCTGCAGATGGTCATGAGACTCATCTCCCTGTGGCACAAATTTAATAATGTCTCCCTCTGGCTGTCCTTTGTCCTAGAGACGAAGCGTTTGCTTGGAGACTGCTCACCCAGTCCTCCATCCTGCCTGCTTCCTGCTTGGATCCTCAACCGAGGGAACTCTTTTTCTTTCCTCTTGGAATGCTCTTCCTGCCCTCTTGGATTCCAGTGACCTCGGCGACTCCTCTCAGGCAGGAGTATTTCTTTCCATGCCTTATCAGAGTGTCTGGTGCAGTAGCCCTCCTCCTCTCTTCCAAGTTTTGATTTATGAAATTTCAGATACCCAAGGACTATCCAAAAATATGTGATGGAAAACTCAACAAATAAGCAGTGCATATTGTGCATTATTCTAAGGATCAATCTCTGACCACCAGACTTGTACACTTATATTTGTACACACTATACACCACACTTGGCCACCCGTATCCACACTGTGCACAGACTCTGTGTATCTACACCATGTATGGATACAGTGTGTCTGCATTGTATCCTGGATTCAGGGTAGCCACACTGTGTATGGCCTGGACTTAGTGTATCCGCACTGTGTATAGATACAGTGTATCCGCACTGTGTATAGATACAGTGTATCCGCACTGTGTATGGATACAGTGTATCCACACTGTGTATGGCCTGGAGTCATTATATCCACACCGTACACTACCCACCCAACAGCATCACTCCTGGATGGCACAGACTACAGGGAGCAGATGATCTTTCTCTGATGTGTTTTCAGGTTGTCTGTGGTAGTCCATCCTCATTTGCAAGTCCCGCATTATTCACATCAACTCAGCTCATGGGGCAGGCGTAGGTCCCTCAGATCATGGAAGGAACGGCAGTACAGTTAACTATCAGGAGAGTTACAGTCTCCCAAACCTTATGCTATTATATTGATCTATTTTATTAGTAACAACTCTTCTTTTGGTTTTTCCAGACAGGGTTTCTCTGTGGCTTCGGAGGCTGTCCTGGAACTCTGTAGACCAGGCTGGTCTCGAACTCACAAAGATCCGCCTGCCTCTGCCTCCCGAGTGCTGGGATTAAAGGCGTGCGCCACCAACGCCCGGCAGTAACAACTCTTCTAATATATTATTATACCTGGTTTATGAGTGCACCTTTACCATAGATGTGTATTGGAATGCCCTGGAATGTTTGATACCTCTGTATTCCCTAGGGGATCTTAGAATTTGCCACCTACAGGTAAGGGAAGGAAACTATGATTTTCCTTCCTCTTGTCATGTGTCTACCTGAGATTACATTCTAGGCTGCTGGCCTGTATTGGGAAGAGGTCCTCCTGACTCCCTCTGCGTTACGGTAGCCATAACTGCCTCTCCTTAGGGATATGCAGGAAGCAACCCAGGACATTTCCAAGTGAAGAGCCAAAGGGCAACCCCTGAGTCTCTGCCGTTTCTTGTGCTCAATATCAACATATGCAACCCCCCATGTGATTCCTGGGTCCTGGGGTGGCAGGGGACTTGGGTTTGAATTCAAACTTCAGGGAGAACTTCCACTGGCTAGAAACACCTGTTTAAGGGGATGGGGTGGGGGGAGATAATTCAGTAGGGAAAGAGTTTGGATCCCCCAGCACACGCAGTACACGCATCAGTGTGCTGGGGGAGTCGGTGTGCCCCTGCAGCCGTGTGCTGGGAGTAGGTGTGCAGCTGCAAGTGTGTGCTGGGAGTAGGTGTGCATCTGCAAGTGTGTGCTGGGGAAGCCAGGACGGGCAGTTCCTGGGGCTTGCTAGCCAGCTGGACTAGCTGGATTGTTGAGCTCCAGGTTAAGTGAGATTCTGTCTCAACAAACAAAACAAAACAGCAAAATGGAGAGTGAGAGAAGATATCTCACATCAACTTCTGGCCTCCATATCAGTATAGTCATGTGCACCCACCACACACACACACACGCGCACACACACACACACACACACACACACACACACACGGTTTTCTCATCTAGCCGAACAGATTCCATTTTGATTATAGCAACAGCTGGTGTTAC